TGACATGAACTGATATGTAATCGTCACCAGTACGATATGTATAGATAGATCTATCTTTCCGAATTTGGGATTTCGGGAAAAATATTTTGTTGAATTTAGTCTTCATAATTAATTTATAAGGTAACAATTCAGAAACGTGTTTACTGTGCCAAGAATTAAATAATCGACTAATCATCTACTAATATAATATGCCATATGTGCTGTATCACATATTTAAGGTCAATAATGTAATGATTGCCTACTTGAAAGTTCTAAATACCGCTTGAGATACAAGCATCAATCTAGTGTCATTGGTTGAATTTCTGCAAAGAGAATATGCATCCAGCTTACTGTGATTAAGTAACATGTGGACTGTACACATACACGGGTTACAGGTTATATATTGTTATCCGGCAAAGTGAACCAAAAAGATCTTAACAACCCACCTGTTTTCTCGTATTGACTCATGTGTTTAATATTAAGACTATTTATACATTTGAGATACCATGACAGCGAAGGAGCGACAATACAGATATAGCAATTCTCTCTTGTAGCGACTCTCCTTACAAGTTAACGTGACATTTCATATTGTTTTGGAACACCTGGATGTTTATGTCAATTCTGTCTTTGTTGTGATCCTACCTTGGACCGAAGATTAACGTATAGGACAATAATGTAGAACTTTACTACCAGGAAGTCGGCTGAAATCATCGGAAAACGGAAAATAAATCTAGGAAACATATTTTTTGACACAATATTTCCTGGAATTGGAGCTCCTTAATGTTATACTCCAATAAATAATGAGGAATTTTATATAAAAGCCAAATAAATTTAAATACAATACATGTAACTTAATACAATCATGAAACTTGTAGAATACCAGGTGTGACTGTGGACTTGTTGGCAATGATCATAAATTAAAACTATTTTATCATATGAACGTACTTGACAGATCAAATTACAGAGTAATTATCGGATAATAATAATAATAATTCAATTCAATTCAGTTCTTGGTTTTATAATAATAACAATAATAATAATAATAAAATCTGCTCTAATTTCTGTAGGCCCTCTAGAAAACAGTACAATAACTATTGTGAGGGCAGATCTATAAGGTTGCTTTTCGTAGTTTGTATTTGGGGGGATCAATATTTGCTCTTTTCAGTTCAAACCTGCAGTTTAATTTTTATGCAGTTCTTATATATGTACAATATATTACATACTGATATTTTTCTATCTGCTGAAAAGCAATCTTCCGTAATTTTCGAATGGATGAAACTTACGGAAACTCTTAACTCATTTCTAGAGAATTACGAAACTGAACGAGATCTACTTTTGTAGTTCATCAGAAAGTAATTTTCTTGTTATGTCGTCTTGGAATACCTATAGTTTCCTTTAACACTAATATGAAACACATCACTTAACAAAAACATACAAAACATTCCAGTTTCACTGATGAAAATGTCGTCTCCTTCACTCTAATATATCAACAGTTACTCGGGCAATATTAAACCTATGTTACACAACATCAATAAAGCCAGCAGATGAAGCTTCATATAAAGCCAAGGATATGTATGTTACAACAGGCACCTTAGTTTCTTATTATTATTCAGCAAGGGAGAGAAGGCCTAGTGAGGTGCATTTATTGGTTCAGAATACCAACAGTGAATTCTGCAGTACAGTACAAAAGAAAACTCCGTAATTTTAGTCCACAAACGAATTACACCGACCGGGCGACCGCCGCTTGTCAGCGAAGTTAGTGCCAACTTTGGCGGATAGAGAGAGACGCGTGGTCAGCGCAACGAATCCCCACGGCCGTTAATCTCGGCTTTCTAGACCCGAGCCGCTATTTCCTTGAAATAGCTCCTCAATAGGGCGAAAATTCATGCCTTATATATTCGAAATATAGACTCAATTCGGAGAAGCGAAAGTGAGAACACATTTCTTGCAATAGTATCTAATGGCTGGATGCTATTTTATAATTTTTATTCATGTGCTCTCTATGTGTTGTTAATGTAACTCAATTTATGTTCGCAATTTATTTCACTATATTTTACAAATTTGAAGCCAGGTTCATACGTTATATATATATCAATTTTCTTATGCACAAAACAACAGAATTTTATGTAAGGTTTGAGGTTTTCACGGCGGCAACTATGAATACTGCAGAAAACAACTGAATTTTAAGTTCGCAACTTTCAATTCAATTTCTCTTCGTTGAAATTTAGCGTATATATAGTGCAGAAACTCTTAATCATGTATTACTATTCGTGAATGATAAGCAGTTTCTGAAAAAAAAAGCACTTTATGCAAGGAGACAAATTTGGAGTGTGTCTGTAATTTTGGTAACTTACGTACTTCTAAATCATAATATACGGGCTGCATCTTCTACTAAAACGTTTTTCTCTCCCTATAGATGCAGTTCTGTATTCCATAGGTTATCGGTTATCGAAACCTAACTGCACCCCAGTACACATTTAATTCCTGCTTGTGGGATATTTTTATTGGTGTTCGTCATCCGAACGCCAGTTTCTGGAATTGCACACGTGCAGCATATAACATATAAACTAAACAAGCAATGGACATTTTATGTTTCCAGACCCATTGTTCATTAGTGCATTAAACAGATATCAATGTTCGGCTTTCTGAACCATGAAATGTCTAGAAGAGCATTGTGTAGGCCTAGGTAAAAAAAAGTTAGACACATTTGTGCTTGCAGACTGCATTTGTTGCTGTATGCTATAGTAGAGACTTTGTTCATGTAAGAGTTTCAGGCACTATCATCTAGTTATAATTAATATTAAATTTACTGTACTAAAAGATACATCTGTGTATGTATAAAACATTTTGAATGGAGCATCCTCTGATATGTTTAAGTGTTACCAGTACCAAATTAACTGTCAGCAAATCAGGTCACTAATTTCAAACAGAATACTTCTCTCCGCAAACACAATCTTTGGTCGTAAAAATCGAATAATATATATTTCTTATGTCGCTGAATAGTTATTATTTATACGTAAAACAATTCAGTAAGGAAGTAATTAAAATTCATGGAACATATAATAATTCGACATTGAATGTGTATAACTTAATGTAATGTGTTTTTCTCAAAAAGAAGTTCTTATTTCTGGCCATAGTATCTAATTAAACAACAGTACGGGTTTATATATACATATACATGATATTTCTAAATATGCACTCACGTCATAATTGAGAGCCGCATTGCTTACTGCCAAACACAAGACATTGACTCTGAAACGCCGAATAATATGTTTATTGTGCGCACTGTCAGACCAATCAGTGGATAATAACAATTCCTGCAGCATCGTTCATGATTCTAGGGCCATTAGGAAGTGTCTCCCTGCCCATTGTGACGGAAACCTTCCAACTCAGCACCGAATATGACCCTGATACATGACAGGAGTCTAGAAACAACACGCACATGTAATATAATTTATACTGAATATCAAAATGTGTTATTTTTATAAGTAGATCCATTAGAGATTACGCAATCTGTTCCCTTAATGCAATCCCAAGCATTGCTGTACATTTTACAAAACAATGTTAGTAACTTCACTATCAGTACTCGAATTTCGTAGTCGTGCTGCTGCTACAATAGCAAAAGGGAGGACTGGAATTGAGTGTTGGCTTGTTATTGTTCCGTGATGCATGGCAGAAATATGTATAATTGGTTCTACAGTGCACAATTATGCAGCCTCTATAATACAACTGGTTTCATCATTCATTTATGAATATCATATCTCATAATTATTCATAATATAATTCCGTTCTCACAATATATTAATAATTATCTGTAACAATAAGCTACAATATGGACCAAGCGTAGCAGTCAATGTCCGCAGGTCACACGCAGTCTCTTGTTTCACTTTCCTTAGTCTGTGTGATACTGTTGCTCCGTATATTAAAATAAAATTACTCTTTCATAACTTCTTGAAATTTTTCAGTATTTTACAACTGGCATTTTAAATTCTAGTAGATTTAAAGTGTTCTGATGATGGTGTATAACACTCAGACTTACTGGGTTTCTGGACGCTGACCATCGTCCGCTATTGTAAAACACTAGAGAAGAGAACTCTAGGGAAACTGGGCATGTTTCCGTCCTCAGGCGAATGGGAGACATACTCTGCTGGGTCCCCTAGAACGAGCTAATCTCAGTCACTGAACAACTGTATGCATTTAAAATTTTGTGATAAAGAGATATTCGGTCTTATTTTTATGTAGTAAACTTTCACAACTCTGAGAACTATTTGGGCTCTCTTATAACAAAAATTATAAGAAATTCGTCTACCAGCTTTCATATTTCTGTCTGTCCGTCCACTTGTCCCCATGTAACAATTCGAAGCATGCTGGACGAAGTTTCATAAAATTTGACTTTAAGGAATTGTATCGCCAGTTCTGAGACATTCCAATTTTGCTTGAAGTCGGACAACAATGACGGACGCTGTGTATGAATACCTACATATATTTCGGCGAGCGTTTCAAGCTTGACTTACTAATTATTTATCGTAGAGACAAATTTGATCGAACAGAAAAAAAAACTAAGCATTCGAGCTAATTTTTTAGTATTTCGTATGTTTCTTATATTCTGGATAATACACATACTTTTTTATTTAAGCGAACCTTTTGTGCTACAGTCATAAAAAAACAAGCATTTATATACCCTCCTTTTGCAGACGATCATGAATTAATCACTGATTCAGAAAATGTTATACAGATAAGCTTCCAATAGAAGAAAGCAAACATATGCAAATCGTATTGACAATCCACACATAGACATGTCGAAAACTATGATCATCAAGGAAAGACATTCGGTTAAAAGTAAGACTCTGATACCGCCCAACAGCAGTCACTAATACCTCCGGTAGATGGGGGAAGCATTATAGATACTTCTCAGCCAGTAGAGCCGGTCTCGCTGGCTGGGCGGGACTGATAGTAAGCACCAATACCGGTAGGATATAGATGCTGGTAGAAATCATAGAGGGAAGCACAATGGACCACTACAGGTCTAAGTGCATGGGGAAACCCACCCTCTCTAATAACTAACTAACTAACTAACTAACTAACTAACTAAGACTCTGATAACGACGTAATAATCAATCACACCCGGGTGTTTATAATCATCAGTGACAAAAAGCAGAAATGCAGACGTACCAATGTATTTTTAAAAAGTTCAGGCTTGACGCAACACGTTTAATATAAGGAAATTGCTTAAAGATACAAGAGTATGAAGCTATAAAGCACAGGGTGTCTCATTTCTCCTCTACAGTAGTGAAACATGGGGTATAACGGCAGAAGACAAATCCATAATCAAACTTCTGAGATAAAATTCATGAGACGGACCATAAAATATACATAGAAACATTAAAAATTAATCGAAAGACGGAATGAGTATGGACTGAGATTTGGGGCAATAGAGGACAATAACTTCAACTTTCAGTATGACAATAGACAAACGCCCAAAACTAAATAAAGGTAATAATAGTTTACATCTATATATTATTTATCATAATCTTTTGTATAAATTGTATGACACTTTCTTGGATATGCAAATAATAAATTTGGTTAGAATCGAAATAATTTGGTCTCTAATTAAAATATTATAGTTTTATCTTCAGATTAATCATACATATATGCTTTCGCTTTCAATGATTTTGAAACAGACAAGTGGAGTTTTATGTCTGACAGTTAATTTCGTTTTATTGATACTGTTTATTTGACTGCCAGAGATTTGTAATGGACGAACGAAGAAAGAAATATGACTGGGAGAAGTGGATACTCTATAGCAGTCACCTATTAATGGAGCTCCTTAATGTTGACAGTAAAAGAAATAGTGCTCAAAGTAATGTAATTTTCTGGACATATATGCAATTTTCAAGTTTTCTTTGCTCTTTCAGGCTAATTTTAAATCAGTGAAACAGTTCTCTGCGTCTTGCTGAAACATTTTGATAGAGGTTAGCATAGAAACTTATGAAAGAAATTGTGTTTTAAAACATACAGAATTATCTGATTTCATTGAGTCACAAACTTGTCTGGAATTAAGTAAAATTCGATATAAAGACACAGTTATTAAACACGAATACAAATTTGATGATTTGTATCCCGTGACACAATATTACGAATTGCACCTATAATTTTTAACGGAGAAAACTGATATTTCAGAGTTTATGTGTCGAAAGAATTTTCTTTATTTATTTCTGTTCATCATTTCTTCAGTCATGAGAAATATAGGCCAAATACTTCCCGTTTCAATTATTCTAAAATCATATCAAAACTCTGTGTGTTCTAAACTCTTGCTACGCTGCCTTATCGTACATGGAGGTAAACACAGTCTCCGCCATATTGTTCCGTAACAGGCCATTGAGAACCAGGTGTACCAATTCCATGTTATGCCAAAATTTCCCTTATATACAAAGACATGACCCGCTAAAAATGTATGTATCTTTGATTATATTCTATCAAAATGTGTATTTTTTAATTGGAGCAAATTGTGAAATTATCTTATAGCCTGGTGCCTAGAGTTTCTGGGTGTGACCTTTGGAGGATTAACAGAGAATAACTGTTTGGTCACTACAGCTTTTTTCATAGCAATCACTCATTTAACATTAAGTGATCAGCTCCCAGTCTAGAACATTGCTACCAACAAACTGGCTAGAATAATGAAAGAAATTAACAAGTGATTTGGTCCCAGTATGAGGCTGTCTTTTCCTGCGAAAAGGTTTAAATCCAGAGGCTTGCTCCCCTTTATCTCTCCAGGGCAAGCGTAGTCAGGATCTGAAACAGTCAGTTCATACACATTTTTGTTATTATGACCCTTCTACCAGACAGACTTAAGTCTACATATAATATTCCTATGAAGTTTCACATAATTAGTAAAGTACGTAGAGTGCCAGAATATGGTGCAATAAAGGTTAAGTTATCACTTTGCTTAGTTCAGCACCACGAGGTGAATAAATGTGGGGGAATGGGGATATACTTTGACACCACCTTAACCTCGACATGATATATGGTCAGCTTCACGCCTGCCCACTTTTTCCCCAGGTAGATGGCCTCTGGTACCCATTTGACTGGACAACAAATTTTTTGAAGAAAGCAGTCTTCTGGGATTTGGCACCGTGTATATGTGGTGCTAACCGACGTTTCGGAGGAACGTATCGCCCCCATCTTCAGGGTAGAAAAGAAAAAAAAAGTATAAGAAATCTGCAAGCGACAACACCGTGAGAATCGGCAAAGCAGACCTGCTTTACCGTTTCTCACGGTGTTGTCGCTTGCAGATTTCTTATACTTTTTCTTCTACCCTGAAGATGGGGGCGATACGTTCCTCCGAAACGTCGGTTAACACCACATATACACGGTGCCAAATCCCAGAAGACTGCTTTCTTCATAGTCACCGCCGTGAAAGCCTCAAATCTTACAACAAATTTTTTAAACATGAAAAAAAAAGTCTTATTGTTGCATTTGTGTACCTGAAGTTATGCCTCTAATTCTAAAACAGTTATGTGGAATTTCAAGAAAGCCGACATGTGAAGTATGCACTAAAATTCGCGATATAGAATTTGTTTCCATTCTCCTTGGTTGAATGGAACCACACAATTACTCAATTTACCAGTATTTACGCACAAATTTTTACTTCTCTCTTTGTGCTAATTCTTCTCAGGTTATTTGCCTATATAAACATTATATGGAGCGAAGTAAGATCGAAAAATGATCAAGAATGAAGAGTGTACGAATTTCTGGAAGCAATGAGTCACTGTCTATTTCCAGCACTCAAGTTACTGAGTGAAGCAGAGATTTCTTCTTTATGTAAATCTCTCCGTGTCTCAGTAATTTAAACAGAGACTCCTCAAATCATAGAGACTCACTAAATGGACTGAATATAGAGTAAAATAGATAAAAAAGGGAAAGCTATACCTGTAACACGCAGGGCAGGCCCGTAACGTTTTGAGACGTCGAGGCTTCCACATTATCTAAAAAATCGGCTCATAGATGGCTGTGAGGTTGCGAGCCTTACAGCCGGCCACCCTTTATCTTCCATGAAGATTCCTGGTACTCATTTCTGTTAGACGTTAGTCTACCCCAGGGACATAGTGCGGATGAATGAAGTAGGTCAATTGAAAAATCCAGTGACCTCATTGGGAATCGAAACCACGACCTCCCGGCTCGTAGCATAGTGCCTCAACCAACTACGATACTGTGTGCCCCTTGCGATGAACATAAGACAGTTCATGTTTTTACCGTCGAATGGTAAGATGGTTAATGAATAAAGAATTGGAGATGATTCTGAAAGAAGCAGTTGTGGCTTAATCCAGGCACTGTCCCGAAATTTTCCTGAAGTATCTGAGGAAAATCACGGGAAAGCTTTGTTAGAATAGCCGGTGCCCCAACAGAGATTCTAACGGAACACCGCTCGAATATGAGTCCAGAGTCTTACCGCTAGGCCAGACTGTGCAGTCTCATACGTTAGAAAATTTTCTTTTTTAATTAATATAAATAATATGACACGGGGGCATGCTGTAGCGAAGTTGGTTGAGGCACTGTGCTACAAGCCGAAAGGTTGCGGATTCAAGTCCCGATAGGTCACTGGATTCTTTTCAATTGACCTAATCCTTCCAGGCGCATTATGGCCCTGGAGTCGACTCAGCCTCTAACAGAAATGAGTACAAGGAATATTCTTGGGGGTAAAGGGCGGCCCTTACGCGCCGTTAGGGCTGACAACCTTGCCGCTATCTATGAGCTGATTGTCTAGAAAATGTGGGAACCTCAACATCTCACAACCCTATGGGCCACCACGGCCTGTTACAGGGATACCTTTACTTTACGTTTTACTTAATATGACATACGTGCACCAATCAGATGAATCAGAGCGCGGTATAAAACTGATCGCAGAATAAATCCGAGAAAAGGACTATGCAAATTCCAACAGTGGAGTAAGGTAAAGTTGCCCTGTGCTTAACTAATTCAGCACTACACCATAGTACATTGGTAAAACTTGTGTACGATGTTACTGAGATGCTTCTGCATAACAACCGTTGCAATAAAAAGGATGTTTTATGCTTAGATGTGTGTTACCTACTTACCAACTTCTTCAAGGAAGTCTTGGTAGGCACACAGGAGTACTTAAACGACACTTAGACGGAGCAGAATTCAACAGGTCCGCAACTAAGCTGCATATAGACAGGACAAGAACTAGAGAAACGGCAATACGTATGAATAATTTGATAAAACAACGTTCAGGCTACTGTGACTGAGTTTCTCGGGTTAAGCAAGTGGGAGCTGCAGAGTGATGATATGGGTTTATAATTGACCCATTCCACTGTCCTTCGTATGTTATTTTTTTGAAGGTGGTGAGGCCTCGATGATATGTGTTTATCCAGAAAATCATATTCTGCTGATGGAGAAAGAGAACATCTCCGAAACCTTGGACTTAAACTCCGAATTGACGCGACTGATCATCTGAGAATGTTTTGTAGCTTGTAAATCACGTTCTCTTGTTTTAATTTGTGTTCGTTTTCATCCGATCAATAACCTATCTATATTGTGACATGTAGTCCCAAATCTGGAATAGTAAAATCAGAGGAGACGTCCATTGCTAGGCAACGACTTGGTAAATATATTCTCCCTGCAACGAATACGCAAGGAACAATCGTGTAACTTCCGTTGTTATGCAATGGCGCTGTAAGCACGCCTTCCAAACGATACAGAGGCTGTGCTTTCTGTATAGTTTTTGCAAAGCGGTTATAAGGAAGAGTTCTGAAGCTGGCAGGAGGAGTATAGTAGTCGAGTGAGTCGATTTTCGAGACGCCAGGCTGCCAGTATATGAGTTTGGGAGCAGAGGAATTGAATGGAATCCAGTCTTCGGAATTGGCCGTTGCAGAATAATGGCAAGAAAGGAATTGCGCTGTGAAAAGAAGCTACATGTGTGAGTTGATGTGACAGTGAGACTGTTACAAATCCGTTTCCAGAATACGACTAGTAAAAACTAATAATCCTAGGGCGTGTAACGGTGAACTGGAAAGTGTGTAGAATAGCGATTGCGCTCTAGCGTAGTTCCGATTTTTGTGAATAAGGTGGCAGTAAATTAAATCGCCCGGTCCGTACTCCGTCTATAGTTCACGCATGTCCCTACACGTGAAAATATCCTTCTATGTATGCCACTGAATAACTAGACAGATTATAGAACTAATCAACATTCGTAATATTCACACTTTTTTAAAATCTGTCATTTTACGCATTGCCTACGAAATGTATGAAAAGTCCGAATTAAATACGAGGGCCGTTCGGAAAGTAACTCCTGTTGATTTTATGCAACTAATATAGGAGCCGGGGAGAGGTCGAGCATTCGAGGCAGCGTCACATGATTCATTGCTTTGTAAACGACCACATAACTGGCCACTTATTGTTTGTTCTTGCCTCTACAGAGTGAGTCATGATGTGTCCTGCGACAGATAATCCCTCCAGCTGCGAATATTCCGCTGTTATCCGCTTTCTTCACGCTACAAGCATGAGCGCCGCAGAAATCCATCGTGAATTATTCACTGCGATATGCGGCCAAAATATAATGAGTGAAGGAACTGCAAGACAATGGTGTATAATGCTTAAAGATGGGCTGGAAAATAAACGTTCACGATGAAGGCCGAAGTGGTCGGCCATCTGTAGTGAGTGATAATCTTGTTCATGACCAAAGAATTATGAAAGACGGCGCTTCGCAATTTCAGAACGTTCGTGTGAATTTACACAAATCTCACGTATTTTTCTCTACGAGATTATCGCACTTAGGCTAGGCTATCACAAGTTTTGCACAAGGTGGGTACCGAAGATGCGCCCACGGGTGGACAGAAAACGCAGGGAATGGCTTCGGCTTTCGTAGAATTTTCAGACCGATATTATAAAGATGGCGATGAATTTCTCAATGACATCGTACGAGTAACAGGTGATGAAACTGGCTTTCATTTGTGAATGCTGAAACCAAAGAACAGTCAAAGCAATGGATGCACACACATTCACCAAACAAGCCGAAAATTTAAACAAACGTATATCTGTCAGAAAGCTGATGGCAGCTCTACTTCTTGGGACAGGAAATAGATGCTGGTAGTGGAATTCATGTAGCAAGGTACCATAATAACGTAACGAGTTTATTGCGAAACAATGTAAAACTTCTCAGAGCCATTCAGAATAAAATGTGCGGAATGCTGACATCCGGTGTGCTACTGATCCATGACAATGCGCTTCCGCATGCAGCTGCTCACACCCTAGCACTGTTGGAGCATTTAAACTGGAGTTGTCTGACCATTCTCCTTGCAGTCCTGATCTCGCTTCGAGCGATTACTACCTGTTTCTCTACCTCAAGGACTGGTTAGGATCACAGCACTTCGATAATAATGGGGAGTTGATGGAACGTGTCAAAACGTGGTTGAGCTCACAGGCGACACACTTCTTTGACACATGCAGACAAAAACCTATTCCACGATATAATAAGTGCCTCACTTCCTGCGCTGGCTACTTTGAGAAGTAGCCTAAGTGTGTACGGATTTTTTTATGTTCATGTATAATGGATTAGCGTGACAAATAATTGTGGGTTCTATATTTGGTGAGTGGGTTCATTTGATACTCACAAGTCGTAACTACAAGTTACTATAACTACACTCTCGCAAGGGTTCCAATGCTGCTGTTCATGTGTTAACGGGATTAGAAGTCCCACTCAATCCTAACCTCTGGAACATATGTGGAGTGGGTGGCCAGTTTTTCGTCTCAACCGTTTCGCAGACGAGAAAGCAACCTCCAGTAGATTTACTCATTGGTTATATGTGCCATACACGACCCGGCACTGTCACCTGCATAGTTAGCGACGGAATTCTTTTCTCTGGGAACTCACCTGGATGATTTTTCAGTCGCGGAAGAAAGTCATTCCAGAATGCGCAAGCGGTGGTTCGTGGACCCTTGCCGGTGCCAGTCTTCTCTGCGTTGAGTATATAGTACTTAGGGTGTTCTTTCGTGTATGTTGGCCATTCCGTATCATTCTGCATGGGCTTTCTGCAGCACAGAGAAATACTTCTTATTGACTGCATCGTCACACCATTACTGCAGACAGAACCTCTATACAGTTTTATTCTATAGACATTTGAGTGAAGCAGACAAGTATGTTAGTGTAACATTAAGGGATATGGCATTAGCGTGTGAATTGCATTCAGCTGACTTAAGTCAAGGTCAAGTGGCAGACGCTAATGAGAACGACAATGAACCTTTTGGTTCCGTCAGTGATGAATAATTTCTTAACTACTTGTAGTTAAGAAATCATTAGTTTCTAAAAGAGCGTTCTGGTACACACACACATTTATTTATAGTACAAGATTCACGGCTGGATTGATTGTAATACTACTTCTTGCTCATTATATTTCACTATTTACTTGAACGAAGAAGCGTTCAATATTCCACGATATGTCTCGGGACCGCAATAAGAATTACGTGTACCCTATCTGTTGTAACTCACTGTGATCTTGTACCTCTTAGAGCACTGTGAATTATGTATATACAATTCTACTAATCCAACTACATAGCTTGGCATCTTATTATAAAATGAACAAACCATTTTTCTGTAACTCAAAAACGACTTCTTTGGTGACAAAATCGAATTTTATGATTGTTACTGGCCATCTTAGTATTACACTGTTGAACAAGATTGAACATAAGCATCATATTTTTAATCACCCTGGAAACCTTGACTTGACGCGTACGTTAAGATATCATTCTCTCCTTCGACAACCTGTAACAGATGTATTGATGGGAGTCTGCACTCCCTTGTAACAGCTGTATTGATGGGAGTCTGCGGAATAAGTACTTCCCTGTAACAGCTGTATCGATGGGAGTCTGCAGAATAAGCACTTCCCTGTAACAGCTGTATTTATGGGAGTCTTCAGAATAAGCACACCCCCGTAACAGCTGTATTTATGGGATCCTGCAGAATAAGAACACCCCTGTAACAGCTGTATTGATGGGAGTCTGCAGAATAAGCACTTCCCTGTAACAGCTGTATTGATGGGAGTCTGCAGAATAAGCACTTCCCTGTAACAGCTGTATTGATGGGAGTCTGCAGAATAAGCACTTCCATGTAACAGCTGTATTTATGGGAGTCTGCAGAATAAGCACTCCCCTTCTTTGACCATTCTGTAGAGCGGGGCGTTTTTTTTTTATAGATTTGTGGGGTGAATATTTGCTTCTTACTATCTGAGAGCTAAATATGAATTCATATAACTAAGTTTGCAGAATAAGCACGATCATTCTCAATCAATTTGCAGATCGTGGAGTTTACGACATCTGCATATAATAAGTACCTGTCTCTTACTCATGTTGTGAGAGAGAAACCGAATTACGCATCTGAGGTTACGAATTAAGCATGACGATTTTGGTTCCTTCGAATATATAGTATATATATATATATATGTAATGAGAATATGTTATGTACCCACCCTGTGAGCGCAAACCTGGCGAAGATGTCCATGATCCGCCGGCTGAGTTCTCTCTCTTTGTGGTTGAACTCTATGGACATGTTGAGTGGGTGGCCGAACACGTACTCTATCTCGTCGCCGTGCATAACTCCCATCCATTTGCCCCACAAGTTACTGCTGGTTCGCTGTAACAGCACGCCACATTAGTACGCCACTGCCTCAAAACAAGTGCCGAGATGAAATTAGGTGTAAATTGGTGGACAGTAGCGAGGCAGACCTTAGCAATACTGTAAAGGGTATATTCATGATGTAATACACAGAACTTACCAACGCCATACTTAAATATGCATGAAGCTTACTTAAAGTGGATATGGTGAAATGTAAGTTGATGACTATCCCCATATTAAATTTCAAAGAAAACTGTGGAAAACTTTATGGGATACGTGGATAATTACATTTATGGTCTTATTAAAACTAAGTTTGTGTATTAATAAGGCAGAAAACCAGAATAATTCAACAATATTCAATAAAGGTACCTACATCGAATATTAACAAACTCTCTGAAATGGTTTATGAGATACATGTATGTTGAAAAGTCCGTTTATGGCCTTTGTTATATACGGCTTAAAAGGCCACGCCATAGCTCAAGCGGTTATTCCCTGGCTCCCCATTGCGGCGGCCCGGTTCGATCCCGGGTCTGGTCAAGTGGGATTTGTGGTGGACAAAGTGGCGCTGGGGCAGGTTTTCTCCTAGTACTTCGGTTTCCCCTGTCAATCTTCATTCCAGCAACTGCTCCATAATGACCCTCACCTATCATCTGGGGCTGGTACAATAGGCCAGAAGTGGCCGCAGTAAAAGGGACTTAGTCCCACCCCACTAGCAATAAAAAAAATAATATATACGGCTTCATTATGGATCAGTATGGCCGGAAATCGGAACTTGGCAACAAATTTTGGTGAAAACCTCTGATGTCGGGTTCTCACAATATGCATGAAACTGTTTAAATGATATATAAAAAGTCATTTTAAGGCCTTAGGTAAACCCGGCTCCATTATTGCAACATGGCTGAAAATGGGCACACTTTGGCAGTATTTTGTGAACGTCTTCCAATTTGAGTTTCAGGAATAAAATGGTTAAGGAATAGTTAATTTGTGAACTCATGCACACCAGACTTTGTTACTGATAGGTGTGACCGAAAATCTGAATATTGTAGTAAATACGAGTAATTAGTGAAGGTCTCATATTGAACTTGAAGGAAACCTGCACATTGCTTGCAGGCCACAGTTAGACAGACGGACTGCATGACCACAGAAAATGCCCTTTTCTAATTTCTAAAGGAGTCTGAAAACATTAAGATGGAGTTTGTGAACCAGATTCGTACTGCATAGAATAGAGACAAGTAACGGACTCTTGTGGACACGGTAATGAACGTCCGAGTCTCGTAATCTTTGATTAGCTGAGCGAATATCAGCTTGTCACTAAGAACTCTGTTACGTTGAACTATCTGATTTAAAATGCAGGGAAACAAAACAAATTTTGACTTCAAAACAGCGTGTCCCTCGTTTGGGTATTACTTCCATTTGAAACTTCGGGATTCATAAGAGGCAGGAGTTGTATTTACTGCATAAGGAGCAACCTCTTAAGGAAGGCCGTGCTGCAAGAAATTAGTTTATAAAACAAACAAAAAACATTGTTTTATGTAAATAATAGTAACACATAGATTTGATATTTGTTTTTAGGAAAAAAGTAAAACTATTCCTGTAACAGGCCGTGGAGGCCCATAGGGATGTGAGACGTTGATGTTCCCATATTTTCTAGACACTCAGCTCACAGATGGCGGTGAGGTTGTCGGCCTTAGCGCCGGCCGCACTTAATCCCCATGAAGATTCCTGTTACTCATTTGTGTCAAAAGCTGATTCGACCCCAGGGCCATATTGCAGCTGGAAGGATTAAGTCAATTGAAAAATCCAGTGACCTCATCGGGAATCGAACCCGCGACTTTCCGACTTGTAGCATAGTGCCTCAACCAGTTACGCTATATGTGAATCTTAGGTTTTTGTAAAACACGGTTATTTCTGTTTTGATATATGAGGAGCATTCATGAAAATCTTGAGAGGGTCACTTCCCTATGGAATTAGTTTATACAAGGATAGAACAGCGATAAGCATCGCTACTTGTGTAAGTGCAGGTGTATTTATTATGTCGATGTGAAACTTCTAGCTTCGTAAGGCGCAAGGGATTTATTGATAAACTTTAATCATTTCATCTCAATAAGGACTCTCTTTATGACATATCTAATTCATAAGCGAAAGTATTGTCACGTGCCACAGTGACTAAAGACTGGGCTAGGATTTATAATTAACATTCTAGGGCTGAAAGTTTGTACAGTAGAATGTGAGGTTTTGTTAATTGTCTTCAGGTTCTCTGCGGCCAACGTCATTCTCATTAAGCACTGTACGACGAACCGCCTCTGAAGGGTACAGTGTATTCACATTTCGTGTTGCACTATCTGTTCGCAGAGATATATTTCATATGCACGACTTTGCTCTCCTTTACACGACCTGTCACTAAGCTGACAAGCATTTTGAATATCGGATTGCAACCCCGCGTTACTTTCGTAATAAATCCATAATTCACGAAGGGCTGGCCTTCTGGAAGAGTTTCTTTTCATGCAAGGTTAAATAGGAAATGAAATTTCTGATAGAATGCTGCCGCGTTCTATCAGTATGTCACTCAAATTATAAAGCATCCATGAATGATACATCAGGATATATTAGAGAGGAAACAGATCAGAATTAGTCATAGCATATTAAATGCCAGCTTGGTAACTCGTAATTGTAAAAGGAGTCGATAAATTAATTCATGTTTTCTATGTTGTTTCGCTTGTTATTTGCATGGTTCTATATATATATATATATATGCACACAAATGTTTACTCCTGAAAAGTCACAGATGATTTTCTGCCCCTGTTGAGCAGAGGTAGCTAAGGTGGGTATCGTTTATTTTGGTTGTGTAAACTGGATCTTCAAAGCAACATAAGGAGGGCTATCTTCAGGGTGGAAACAAAATAGATGTTATGGTGTCTCTTATTCGTTTTGTTGTAAGCAGGTGTGTACTACGTGTTTCGACCTTTGCTTAGGTATCAGCAGGCAATTTCCATAAAATATCAATTTAGTTGCCCTAATATGGATCCATTTTTTTTATTGACAGTGGGGTGTGACTAAGTCACTTGAATTGCGGCCACTTCTGGCCTATTGTACCAGCCCCAGATGATAGGTGAGCGTGATTGTGAAGCAACTGGTGGAATGAAGATTGGCAGGGGAAACCAAAGTACTCGGAGAAAACCTGCCCCAGTGCCACTTTGTCCACCACAAATCCCACTTGACCACACCCGGGATCGAACCCGGGCCGCCGCGGTGGGAAGCCAACGACTAACCGCTTGAGCTATGGCGCGGCCCAGTATGGATCCATATTATTATCACATTTTCGAGGATCCATGACTAATAATTGTGGGTTCTCGATTTGATGATTAGGTTTATTTGATGTCACAATTACACTTGGTTATAATAATTCACATATTGAACACCTTCTGGATATCGAATCCCTCACGGTTGTCTGCATCTTGCTCCTCTGGACTTCTTAAACTCTCTCGTATTCGGTTCTTCTTGTTTTATTTGCTGTTGTATCGTCTTCACTTCTGCACTTCTGAACTTCCGAACTTCTGTCCCCTCAGTCTGTTATATTCGACAGTCGGACGGTCTAGAAGACACCTTCTCAAAGGGTTCTGTTTCGTTCTTTCGATGCAAAGGCCTCCAGTGTATTGGTTGCCACGGGAACTGAAGTGGTTCGGAATCCGTTACCTAGGAAACCGCTAAGCGAAGCTCCGCTCAGCAGGGGTGGGGATCGCGGCTTTCAGGCGTCCCGTCACATTATGCACTTTTGTCTCTACCTTTATGTTTTGTTGACGGTCCAGTTCGCATAACAAAACAGACTGCAACCCATAAAGATTAAGGTTTATTTTACTGCAATTGTCAGATATCAAAGGAAATTATGTACACCTAATGTAGTTTAAGTGATATTTGTGTATTTGTTTACGCTGATTACGAGAACTAAAACACAAGGTTTCTCTAACCCACAGTTCTTCAATGTAGCACACATTTATATTAATTAGGATGTACATTGTAGTGAGAAGGGGCGTGTCCATCACTTCCCCTTTCCATCTTTATAACGCCTGCGCATCACTCCTTGCATATTCATATTCAGAAAAGAACGCCTTACTTATTTTTTTATTTATTTTTTTAATAATATTAGCAATCAGAATTACATTTGATTCTATAAGCTAATTTGCTGTAGTATTCTTCGTGACGTGGAGAGGGCTTATCCAGAGATAAGTCCTCGTTAACTCTCTCTCAGGTCGGCTGGCCAATTCCTTTTCAGTCTTCGTCCATTGTGTGATTCCAGTAACGATCTCATGTCCTTCTATTTTGTTCAGGCATCTTGTGATTTTCCCTTTTATCACTTCCTTCACTAGCGGCACTTTCAGGTCTTCATGGAGTGTTATATTGGAAACATACCGTGGGGCGTTAGTAATCATACGTAGTATCTTTGACTGACATCTTTGGATTATGGAAATATTGGTTTTGCGAGCACATCCTCATATTTCCACTCCATATACCCAAATTGGTTTTATTATTATGTTTGTAAAGTAAGATTTTGTTGTCTAATGAGAGCTTGGAATATCTTCCAATTAACCAATGCATATCCTTGATTTTTAAATCAATCTGTTTGCGTTTTTTAGTAATGTGTTCCTTCCAGGTTAGATGGTTGTCTAGATGAATTCCTAAGTATTTTGTGCTGGGTGATTCAGGCATTTGTATGTTATTAAAGAAAACTGCAGGACATTGTTCTCTTCTTAGACTGAAGTTCACTTTCACTGACTTGTTTTCGTTGATTTTTATTTTCCATGTCTTTTTCCACTCTTGTATTTGATTTAGTAGATTTTGCAAAGTGAAGGTGAAGTGAAGTGCTGGATCTGTGTTGGCTGAGAGGATCACGGTATCATCCGCAAATGTGCCCATTGTTGTGTTGGCATTGACTGGTATGTCTGCTGTAGACAGTAAATAAAGTAGTGGGCCTAAGACACTGCCTTGTGGTACACCTGATTTTATTGCAAAATTGTTAGATA